TTTGACGCTAGTTACTTTATTTAAGGAATGCCTCAGTTGAAACCGCAGTTATTATTATGAATGAGTAATCCTTTTGATGCTACGATCAAACAAGTTTTAAAAAGAGTTTTTTCCATACATTGCAAAGACAGATTTCGCCAAAACTGACATAAGCCTGCAGATTTGCCTTTGTCAATAAAATCATCGCCGAATCTTTTTTTCCCTATTCAGCCTGGCTCAGAACTTATGCTCAGGCCACTCAGTCTGGAACCCACAGTCTCAGCCTCTAGCCGACAGGCTGAATGGGACTTTGAGGTGGACAACACCTTGACTATTCGAAAGCCAGTTAAATCTGGGTGAGTCTTTCAAGTCAAATCTGGTTAAAACTGAAAAGATGCTCACACAAAATTTACTTTCCCAATACATGATTATAAATGCGTCACTCATAGGCTGATCTTGTTTGATTACTAAAAGAGTCTATCATGTCTGTAGGGCAGTTTAGCTACTAGTATACCTCTTTGAGCCCATGGTTATAGGTAAACCGTCTTCGATCTTAGGGCCACTTGCACCGCCGTGCCTAAAACAATTTGAGGATCAAGTAAACTAGCATACATTTTAAGGCAGCTTCCATTTTGGGTCATTGGGATCTGCCCACAAGTACCGTCCTCTAGACATTTTTGCGAATTTAAAATTCGAAGGCACATTACTTTGTTTATACGAACCATCATAAAAGTGTATTTATGCAGAATTCCAGTTAAGTTATCATGCTCTCATAGAATAAATTCATATATCGCAGGAAAAATTGTACAAAAACCAGTCGGCTACTTATCTTCAAACACAAGTGCGCTCTATCTGGTGCTTTCTTGCTGTACTATACTGAGCAATGATATTCGATCTAAGTTTATACACATTGAATACAATATATAGTTATTATTATTTATTTCCACACATAAAAGTTATTGCGCCAACTTATAATAAGTCGCCTAACTACGTACAAGTTGGAAACAAGTGACTGGGTCTAGACATTTCATGAATAAGATTAAACCCAAAGCCAGGATCAAAGCGATATGCTCTCCATCCACAAATCATCGAGCCACGTAGTTAAGCAGACAAGAGTAGGCAACCTTTATTGAGGGAAAATCTTTAGTCTTTGCCAACCACACTCACAAATTTCTCTCTCACTTCCTTTTACCGAACGTCTTTCTCATATCAGCTTCCTGGTCTCCTTCTTGGTTGATGCTCGTGGAGGCCTTGTTCAAGCCCAGCGCAGGATGGACCTGCGTTTTCTGATACCACCAAATGCTGCTCCAGGACCTACGAGGATTGTTTGCCGAATGCTACGTCCAGATAGAGCCTACAGCAGACCCAGCTTAAATGATGGCGACTCTCTGGCCAGCAGGTACTCTTCTAGCCTCAGCAAGGCTTCACTTCGCCTAATACCTTTTTACTGATTCATTCACACTGTAAGCAACAGGATGGCACTATTAATGTTCACGTGCATAAAGATTCATTGTAGTGTTTCACTTTTTGTAATGACCAATCTTACCTAAAAGCATCACTAAGCTTGACATCCCCCAGCTGTATGGATTAGTTCAGCCATTAAAATTGATATATAGGTAAATAGATAAATGGATAGATTTCTTATTAAGAGAAATTTGGCTATACAAATTGTTTGATAGATTCATTATGACAATTATTTTCATGTAGGCTGGAAGTCAATCACTGTTGTTATTATGAAGGAGAAGATATCAGTTAAGTCCTATCTGTTGTTCCCCAACTAGTTATACTTGGTTATCCATTATGCTTACCCAATTATTTGGTAGTGTGTCCACATTCACTGGAACGTGAATATCCGAATAGGAAACTTTCCACTAAATTCCCGGCCTTATATGCAAAATAGCCTAATTTCAAAATATACAGCAGGGAACTAGCCTATAAAAATAGGATGGTTGTTTTGGTAGTTCCGCTTGGCTGTTGGCGACTATGAGGTCTGTACAAACACTTCTAACCACAAATTCAAATGTCCACTTTTGTATAACTCAGGCTTCTAGAGATGGGACCCTACCATCTGCGCTTCACATCGCCAATTCTTATTGAGGTGCCCCATTGTGCATCATTGAGGGGACGAGAGCGCGAGGTGATCATACTCAGAAGCGATAATGGCGACACGTGGAAGGAGCACCAAGTCGAGGCAACAGATCAGGCTGTTCAAGATGCCCTGGGCTCTTCTTTCGGTGAGTTCGATTGCCTTTTCCTGTGCATGAACTGAACGGTTATTTCTTTTCGCTTAAATAATTAATTTCTTCTGCACCAATACCAAATAATAAGCAGGATGCTTCAAATACGCCATCCGACTTTGATATTAGATGTGTTCACCCTATTTCGATTAAGTGGTTAATTATTGGTAGTTGAATTTTCCCACGATGATATGAGTAGTATTTATATTTTCATT